GACGCGCTTTGAGACGTCTCGAAGACGTGATAAGGCGCTGTATCAAATGCAAAGGTTATTATTATTATTATTATTACTATTACTATTATTGGCCCAACGTCTTACGCATTGCCATTGAAAACGATATCCACTTTCCACGCATTCAATGTGATAAGTATCAGGTGGATCACTGCGCTCGTTTACCGTGGAAAAGGATGCGGCAGTTGCTTTTTTCCAATCCGTTGCGATTAACGGAACTGCCTTTTTGCGCGCGCAAAATACAAAAACGGCTCCAACGCGCTTACGGGGCAGTTGTTTGAGCGTTTCGAGTCCTGCTTTTTTTTTAAATTTCCTGAAAGAAAACAACACCGCTTTGATTTCAAAGGTCTTGCAAATAAAAACGACCGTCATTTGGGAGTTACGTAAGCGAGGCGTGCATCGCCAAGTGGGCAGCGACACTGCTTTGTTAAAATACGCGTAGCAGCAAAAATCCCCGAAGCTAAGAGAGAGTAGGACTTGCCCTCCCCTCTCTCTCTACGTCCTGATGCTCAGCGACTATTACTGCGTATACATGCGACATGCGTTGGCTTAATTTCGTGTCACCGTGAGTTACATCAGTTATGCTCCACGGAGCTGGGTGTGTGGATGGGATGCCTGATGAGCTTGTTTCTGATGCATTAATTTAATGCATTATTTTCACATGCATAGGAGCCAAAGTTCAATTGCATTTACTCTCCGTGGATTAATGGTTCAAGGTCGGCCTTCGGACGAAGTCAGAACCTTTTTTCTTCTTTCCCAGACTGAATTCGGGGGCCAGTTGTTTTACTCGTGGTTTCCGGTCGTACGTTACGACTTGTCTTAGCTTTAAGATTCATGCAGAATTGTGAAAAACTCTTAATTTGGAAGCTGATGAACCTGCTCCCAAATTGAGGATTTGGTCACAATTCTGCGTTTAGAATAAAACTAGGTAGAATTTCAGACTGGATGTAATCTATTTCCTTAATTCATTACAGTTAGCAGTATTAAGACCCGACATCAGTGTATGCTTTATATAAAGAACATACGTTATTGTGTGTGTGTGTGTGTGTTTGTGTGTATCAAATGCCCAATATTTATTGTCTCATTTAATGTTTTTCCTTGTTTCGTTGGGAAACACTCAGAGATGGTTAACAGTTGAACATGATCAGCGTGATTCTCCAGGATAATGCCACTTCGAGACATCTTCCTGACATGAAAGGCACTATATCAAATTATTATTATTGTTATTAATAATACTGCCAGCTCAAGCGGGGATCAACTAAGTGGGCATAGAGCGGGAACTGAATCCCGAGACTGTGATCTGCGTCTCTTAGCTCTTCGGTGAGTGGATATCTCGAGGTACTCAGATATTTTCCCACTTAGGTGAGGCAACATGTGACATGAAACTCCAACAGCAGGACTGCTGTAAATCAAAGTGCTGCTGATATACGGAAGGTTGCTTGTCAGCGTGTGACCAAGAGCTGCCCTTCATTGGAATTTGTGCAGCAGATGGAACATTAATTGCGTTACATTCGTTTACTTCAATACACAAACGACTTTGGATTCATTCGGGGCCCCAGAACCAGTCTCTGTTGGTGCATTTGCATCTCTTGTCTTGTTGTCGGGTTAGGACGTGGCTACCATTCCCGTATCATTGCACGTTACATAAACACACCGTTTTCAAGGCACTCTACTGGGGAGAATGCTTTTTGGCGATCATCGGAAGAGGGACCTTCAGCCTCTCTTGCCCCCACTCTTTGGAACTCCATCCCACATTCCCATCACCTCGCTCCCTCCCTAGCCCGCTTCAAGGCATGTCTCAAGACCCTCCTCTTCGATCGCGCCTTTGGCATCCTACCCTCTTACCCTCCACCCTCCCAGATCCCAACCCCCACCCACCCCCTGCCTGCTCGGGTCCAAATCCCTGACTGGGCTCTATACAAAGGTAAATTTGGATTGTATTGTTTTGCTTGAATTGCCATCCTTTAGACGTAACTTTAAAACTGAGATCCCATCCGTCTGTTCTTCAGGTGGACATTAAAGATCACTATTTGAAAAAACAGGAGGTTTTTTTTTCCCCCCGATGTCCTGACCAACAACCCTCCAGAGAGATGAAGCAGAGGCCTTGGGTTTGTTGTGGGGACATTGCTGTGCACAAAACGACAGCTGAGTTTGCTTACGGTAAAGTACACGTGACGAGAGTAATTACCTTGAACCGTTTGGAGATGCTTGAAGTTGATAAAAGGGCTTTAGAAAGCAAGTTAAAAAGCAATTCCGTTCCTGTTGATTCCGTCTATTTTCACGTTTTCCCCAGGTCTGATTATAATCCCGGATTCATTTGCAGCAAACATTTGAAGACTTTTTTTTCTCCAATTGCTGCAAGCAACTCGTTGTCATATCGATCGCCTGCTTGCGAGTGTCTTGCCACTGGCGCTCTGGTCATTGTGATCAGTGCTGAATGTCTCCTTTTAGACCGTTTTGATGCTCCGTTGGTACGAATGGAAGTGAAGCCGTTTTGCTACATTTAAACCTCTGCTTGTTGTTTCACGTCAGTGCCATTGGAGAAACCCTGTGATGTACGGTCTCCTGATTTAACGCGACAATATTCTCCTTCACGTTAGTAATTCCCATTAAACGTAGCGCAACCTATCAGGCTTGACGAAACATGGGGGTAAAAACTTGACGTCTCACAACAGGTTCGATGTGAAAATGAATCAACTGATTTCGGATGTGAACAGCCTTCCTGCGTATCCCGCGAAGCGCTTTGAGATGTCTCGACCAGGTGATAAGGCGCTATATCAAACGCAAGGATTATTATTATTTAGGTGGGGAAATAAATGCTTCGACATTATCTCAGATTTTAATTGGTCACGTTGACTGATGGTTTGTTCTGTTTAATAAATTGAGAGTGAGCTGTATTAGTCAAAGTCGTAAATATCACAGTGTTTAGCTAATTGAATTGAAGTAATTACATTACGTGTGTCCTTATTCACTGCTCGTAGCCAAAGTGGTCCCGAATTTCGTTTTGAATTAAGATCTATAATAGGAAAAGACTTTGCATTAAAATGGACTGAAAAAAAAACAACTGGTTTACAGGGATTTGGTTCAAACTGGTCCGAATGGGTTCACAGCTTTCAACCTTTGGAGAATATTTTAAGAGATCAAAGGGGTAGATTTTCAACCTGAGTCTAAATTGATTCCATTAACATACCATTTCGGAGTGCACAGAATTTGCTATTTTTTAAAAAAAATACAGCCTTTCATTTGAAACTAGGTTTCTGCAAATCCTTTTTAAGAATGACAAAACAGGCTTCAGATTTAAAACTGAATTCAACAATTTGCCAAATCCTGTCTAAATATATATATTTAAATATGGACCGTCTGGCAATAACTTCCTACTTCCCAAAAGTCTGAATTCCTACCTAGTCTCTCACCGCAACACTGTTTTGTTTTAGAGATTTAAATTAGAGCAGAATAGTGCAATGATTTTAAATTGGCCCTCATGTTGGAAGCCAGTTTCTTTCAAGTAAATGTGTGAAAAACAGCTTCCAAGTAAAAACTGAACAGATTTCCACAAAGTGATCTTCCGGTCGAGGTGATATTTTGTACCACAAATACTTCAAACAGTAAAGGTAGAAATTGTTGACTTCAGGATTTAAGCCCTCACCGGAGATCATCACACACAGACTCCACACACATACGATGCTCTAAACCTTGCTATTGACTTATTCCAACTCTCAACCAACCCATTTTTTTATTTCATTTCATTTTTAATCTGAAAAAGACTAATTTAGTCACTCAATCCACGGTCGTTAGTCGATTGGTGGATCGCTTTTCCGGGGGTAATAATCCCTTCAAAATAAATTTTTTAAGAAGTAATTTGGTCACTCAATCCATGACTGCTTGTGGGGACGCTGCTGTCCGCAGTTGGCTGCCGTGTTTCATCCACAAATATACAGTCAATTCACTTTATAGTATATTCTGTGAAGAGCTTTGAGACGTCTCGAAGATGTGTTAAGGCGCTATATCAAATGCAAGGCTTATTATTATTATTAACCCAAAATGAACCAGAGAGTTAACAATAAAACTCAGCAAGGATTAAAAGGAGCTTCAAGCGAGCCTGGTCGCTGAAACTTTCAGGCTGGAGTTTAGAAGGTGTTCGGATTTGAGAAAAGAAAAGCACTTCCTCAGAGTGCGGGGACGAGGGACTTGAAGTAGATAAAAGATCAGAGGGTGGAAATCCTTTTTTTTTAATTATCCTTAAGACCATTGTTTTACAATTTAGGATCCGGCAGAAACTTATAAAAATAACTCTTAAACTCTGTGTTGGATAAGGAAGACGGTTTTCCACAGGACCTCCTTAAAATGGACCGTAAATCAGCATCTTCCAAATTAAGACCCTATAAAGAAAATTCAAAAATTCTGCACCATCTTAAAAGTTAAGACAATGGTCTTAAGCCTAAGAATATGAGAAATGTTGGGAGCCTCAGAAATCACTTAAAATTGGCTTAATACGCCCAAGGCCTGAAATTGCACTTAGTCTCAAGCTGTAAAACCGTTTTCGTCATAAACGTTAAGATGGAAGGTGCATAAAACTCTTCTGTAAGAACCACGGAAAACTAGCGACCAAATTCAGACTGCGCCTGAGCACTGGGCTTACTGCAAGTACTTGCTGAGGCCGCGTTGAATATATTTTCCCACCCGTTGTGTGTATTCCCGATAACGGAGAAGGCCACGGCAATAGTGGGAGCGGGGAAAAAGTCAGCCAACTCTCTATCGCTGGTGCACTCCCGGTCTTGCTCATTCGCTGCCCCCACCGCCCCTCCACCTGTTACTAGTAGAAGGGAAAAATGTCCTTTGATGGGGGGGGGCATCCGCCTGGTCCTGTACGTGGGGCGAGCTATCGGGAGCCACTCTGTAACTGTGCAAGACACCAAGATCAGGGCTCCAATGCCTCTGCTCCTCTTAGCTCTGCGCCATCTTTGAATAAAGCGTAAAAGGGGCCGTTGGGAGGCGACTCCAAGTCTGTGTGGTTTGTCTGGTTCGTTTCACCTGGTTTCGCTGGTCTCCACCAGCCTGTTGTTCATGATGGCCAAAGCCCCCACCCCCCCCGACAGCCCGTTCTGCTTGGTGTTGATGCAAACCGTCCGGGGGTAGCCGTTGGCTGTCTCCGACAGCTGCTTCTGGAGGATGGCCAACGACACCTTGTTGGAGGCTGTCAGGTCCCTCATGGAGATCAGCTCTCCTGAGAGACGCCTGCCCTCGGTGTCGCTTTCGTAGGGTCCGTCCCCGTCCAGCAGGACCCTGCCGCGGCGGACGCGAGACTGCCCGGGGGTGATGGCATTACGTCTGCCCGTCCTCATCTTGCCCCGCTGGCACCTGGGGCAGCAGCTGCATTCCATCTGCCTGAGCAGCCAGTTCAGGAACTGCTTGATGACGATGGAGATGACGTTGAAGAGCGAGTAGATGCAACAGACGCCCAGCAACATGAAGGCGAAGTTGGCGAACCTGTATAGGCCCTGGTTGGGGTAGTCCTCCCCTTGGCTGCTCACCAGGTCCCCGAAGCCGATGGTGCTGAAGGTGACGAAGCAGAAGTAGAGGGAGTCGGTGTAGCTCCAGCCCTCCACGGGGGTGTACATGGCCGAGGCGCAGCAGGAGATCACCACGGCGGCCGCGCCTAGGATCAGCATGACGTAGTAGACTGAGGGCTTCCAGCCGGCCAGGCCCCCCGGGTCCGAGAGGCCCGAACCGCGGCGCAGGATGGGAGGCACCAGCCCGTGGCTGCCCACCCTCCGCTGGTGACAGGCCTTCATCACGAAGGCCAGCAGCGTGATGATGCGCTCCAGGAAGAGGTTGAAGAAGAGGATGGTTCCCGCGCACCCCAAAAGGCCGTAGAATATCAGAAAGACTTTGCCCGCCACCGTCGCGGGGGTGGTCATCCCGAAGCCTGCGATTTAAGAGACAAGAGGGTTGGCTAAGCTCTCCTTAAGGCTCCAAAATCCCACCTAGTCCTAGCCCTCGAGACCCCCCCACCCACCACCACCCCACAACCCACCCCTCTCCCACCATTTGCCATCAAAATTCAAGACCGCATAGAATTGGGGTGGGGGGGGAAGTTCTTAAATTGAATCCTGCAGCTCAGTGGTCAGAGCACCCACCTCGCAAGCGAGAGAACCTGAGTTTGATTCCCGGGCAGGGGGTGGAACGATGGGCAAGTTTCCTTACTCCACACACACGCCTCTGTTTACCCGGCAGTAATTAGGAACCCGGTTGTTAGTCGATTGGCGGATCGCTTTTCCAGGGGTAATGATTCCTTCCAAAAAATATACAATAATTTGGTCGCTCAATCCACGGCTGTTTGTGGGGACACTGCTGTGCGCAATTGGCTGCCGCGTTTCGCCCACAAAATATACAGTCAATTCGCTTTACAGTATATCCTGTGAAGCGCTTTGAGACGCCTCGAAGACGTGATAAGGTGCTGTGTCAAATGCAAGGATTATTACTATTATTAAAACCCTTCCATATTGAGACTGAAGTGAAGAATTTTCCACAATTCTGTGCAATCTTAAATCTTAAGACCCACAATGGCCTTCGGGCTGAGGGCAGGTGGGATTTCGAGCCACACATCACATAATGAAGATAGGAAGAATAATAAAGAATTATCTTTATCATTCTTGCATTTGATCCTTGCAGTTGATGTCCCATTTTTGGGACCATTGTACGATGGACCTTGTTAAGTTACAGCACACACACACGCGCGTAAATCCTGCTTTCAGCTTATTCTCAGTCAAGCCACGTGATCTCGACAGTCTTAAAGGTAAAGAATAAGGGGAGTTTAGGCCTAAGCAGAGCTCTGCGGTTGCTTTATTGCCTCACAGACATTATACACATAAATTTATAAGCTTTGTGCACTCTGCTAATTGCTGCCAAACAGTGTTTAACATTACTACAGAGTTGGGAGTGCATCCACAACTCTCTTATGTGAAAAACTTCAAGAGCAGGAGTCCTGCAGTGTCGCTGCTGTTAGAGTTGCTGTACATTGGACGAGTCCTTAAAAGTCCCATTTGCCAGCTTTAATGGGTCAGATAGATGTTAAATAATAATCCTTGCATTTGATAGAGCACCTTATCATCTTAAGACATCGCGAAGTGTTTCACAGATTAAATCACCGTAAAGCAAATTGACTGCATTTTTGCCGGCGAAAGGCGGCAGTCAATTGCGCGCAGCAAAATAAAAATAAAATAAAAATGACATTGTGCTATTTCAAAGCAGAACGAGAGTGTCTCTCCAGTGTTCAGGCTGTCTAAATTCGGCAAGAAAGCAGGTTAAACGTGGTCCATTTCATACATTTCATTGCTGCTTAGAGAGCGCAACCGCTTAAGCTGCTATGTTTGCTCGCATGGAAAGTCCGTACAGTTCAGAGTCTCTTGTGCATCGTAATCATTAAGAGCAATGGCAGCCTGGCTCACCTCCGAGTGAGAGGGTTGTGGGTCCAAGCCCTAAGTAGGGACTTTTGTCTTTGAACTCACAGAGTAGACTGATGTTCCAGGGCAGTGCTCGGGCTATTCTGCTTTGTTGGAGGTGCCATGTTTCACACGAGATGCTAAATTGAGGTCCCGTCTGCCTGTTCACAGGGCACGCTAAAGAAGATTCCATGGCACTGCTGCGGAAGAGAAAGGAGTCTCTCCCAGTGTCCTGGCCGACAGTCCCCCCCCCACCGATAAATTTGGTCATTCATTTCATGGCTGCTTGTGGAACAGCGCTGTGTGCAAGCTCGCCGCCTCATTCACCTACAAAATACGCAGTCGCTCTGCTTTCTGGTGACTGGTGAAGCCTTTTGAGACGTCTCAACGTCAAATGCAAGGATTACAAATGTTTATAATAAGAATAAAAGCTCGATTTAGGTTCAACCCACCGCTGAACAGCAGGTGCACCCAGCAAGATGGGAGGCCTGAGAACACAAGCGAAAGGAATCGTGAGAAGGGGTTAGTTACTAACTGAGGTGTATGCAATTGCCAAATAGGCAATACCGCAAGGTGTATCATACACCGCATTGCACATCTGCCTCCGCCACTGTTAAGCTCTCGGAGACACCGCCCCGTGTGAAGGCCGCTATACAAATGCAAGTTGTTGTTGTTGTTCGTCGTTTTTGCCTGAAACTCCCATTTTTTTCTTAATAATACGAATAATAATCCTCGCATTTGATACGGCTCCTGATCACGTCTTCGAGACGACTCAAAGCGCTTCACAGAATAGACTGCAAAGCGAATCGACTGTCTAATTTGCGGGCGAAACGCGGCGGCCAATTGCGCACAGCGCCGTCCCCCACAGACAGTCGTGGATTGAAGTGAACAACGTTATTATTCTTTTTTTCTTGAGGGATTATTATCAGGCGTGTGGAGCAAGGAAACTTGCCCAAGGATTCGCCCTGCCGGGAATCGAACCCAGGTCTCTCTTAACGTTAAAGGTCACGCAGAATTGTAGAAACATTTTTCATTCAATCTTGATTTGGGACACCCAGTTGCTACAGCCATTAAAAAAAAAACAATCTTTCAAATTAAGATCAAGTGTGACATTTATTTCAGAGCTCTACACGAATCATCCGCAGACATGGGGTCATCTTCCATATGTATGCGGATGACACCCAACTCTATCTTTCTGCCTCCACCCTCAACTCCAGGACCACTGCTGTCCTGACAGACTGCCTGTCGGACATCAAGTCCTGGATGAGGGCAAATTTCCTACAGTTGAATGGACTGAGGCCCTCCTGATTGGCTCGCGCCAGCGCCTCAGCACCTCAGGCTCTGGCAACATCAACCTCCATGGTTCCACACTTCAACTCACCAGCCAGTCAGGAACCTCGGGGTCTTGTTCGACCCTCAACTGTCTTTTCTTCACCACATCCAAGCCATGACCCGCTCGGCCTTCCCTCACCTCCGGAACATCACCCGACTCTGCCACTACCTCACCCCTCAGGCCACCGAAACTCTTGTTCATTTCTTCATCATCTCCAGGCTCGACTATGCAAATGCTCCGCTTGTCGGCCTTCCCAACTCCTCCCTCCACAGGCTGCAGATAATCCAGAACTCTGCAGCCCGTGTCCTCTCCCACACCAAACACCCTGACCCCATCTACCCCACTCTCGCCCAACTCCATTGGCTCCCGATCCTACAGAGGATCCAGTTCAAGATCCTGGTCCTCACATACAAAGCCCTCCATGGCCTCGCCCCACCCTACCTTTGCGACCTGCTAACCCCCTACCAACCCGTCCGTTCCCTCCGCTCAGCCGGCTCTGGCCTGCTCCACGTCCCCCGACCCACCCGCCCCACCATTGGCGGGAGAGCATTCAGCCACTCTGCCCCCAACCTCTGGAATTCCATCCCCCAGTCACTCCGCCTCGCCCCCTCCTAAGCCTCCTTCAAGTCGCGCCTCAAGGCCCTCTTCTTCGACCGTGTCATCGGCCACCCCCCTTCCCCTCCCCTCCCTTCGCCCCCCAACTCCAGCTCAGGTCTGAAATGCTGTACTCTGGTCGAGTGCCTTGGAACATCCTCCCGACGTGAAAGACGCTATACAAATGTAATCTTGTCATTGTTGTGGTTGACATCGAGTCACTACATGGATTAAATTTGTCTGTCTGTCTGTTCAGGTACAAGTTAATGCTCCCATGTCTATTTAAAAACAGAAGGGTGATAGATAGTTCATTCCGATTGACAATAAAAAGGAGAAGGGAATGTCTAGGTCATTTAGCCAAGGCTGTTTGGGAGACCGTGCTTTGTGGAAATTGTTTGCCTGAAAACACACAGTGACTACATTTGACGGTAGTTTTACCTGTGAATTGTTGTGACGTTATATCAAATGCAAGGAATATTATTATAATCATATCAGTACCTGCTATCCTGCATAAGAATTGTGTCTACCAGTATCTGTTTGTCATGATGCCTGTAGCCTCACTGACTCCAGCAAAACCCAACGCACATCGGCTGCCACTGTTCACCCACAAAATATGCAGTCACTTTACTTTACAGTATATTCTGCGAAGCGTTCTGAGACATCTCGAAGACGTGATAAGGCGCTATACATCAAATGCAAGGGTTATTATTAGAATTATTTAGAAGCTGTTATTTTCCCCCTACAGTTCTCAAAAAGGCTTCTAAATTAAGACAATTCAAAATGTTTGCAAAATTTTGCGCAATCTTAAATTTTAAGACAATGGTGTTACGTTCCTTGAGAATATTTGGGCCTCTGAGCTGTCATTTTAAACAAATTCAGCCAACTGATTAAAAAAAAACCTGTTGTTTGGATTCTCATCTTATTCTGTTTTATTCTGAAATATTGATTTGGACCTTTCATTAGGTGATATTTTAACACTGATTATAAATGCCGTTTGCGATCAACGAGCAAACTATTTGTGAGTGTTGCTCAAGGTAATCTTACAGTGATAAACATGCAATTGTTTGGGAATAGATGCGTTATAAATCGAACAACAGATCTTTGATATCGGGGTCTAAATTGCAAGTTGGGTTAACCATGTGCAAATGCATATGGAAAGAGGGAATTACAGGTGTCCTTCGTATTATGTAATTAACACCAAATAAATAAATAATGTGCGTGTTTATTGGAGAGATTCTGTATTGAATCTCTCTGATCTTTTGTACTGGGTGCTAATTACATAATTAAAGGCATATTGCGTGCATTTGCTCATGATTAACCTGACTTGCAGATTTTGCGCATAATTTGCTAACCCAAGCCGCACATTAAACCTCAACGTGTTCCGAGTAGGATTGCATAATAAGCATGGGCCTGTTTGCAGACATTGGGCTCATCGAGTAGAGTAATGTCGGAATGATCCACTGTTGCACCTTTAGGTGTCAACTTCACTCTCTGAGTCATGGATGTTTGTGGGGCATTTGCCTGTTTTGGCCTATGACACTATGTGAGTTTCTCCAGTTTCTCCTGATGTCCTGTCTAACACAACTCCAAATGAATTGATCATCTATTCCATGGTTGTTTGTCACATTGTACTGTGCCCTAAATACAGGTTTTTGCATTTCCCTAGAAATACAGTCACTATACTTGACAGCAATTAAGTGTAAAGTGCTTCAAGACGTTTTGACATGATGGGTAATAATAATAATAATAATAATAATCCTTGCATTTGATATAGCGCTTTTCACGTCGGGAGGACGTCCCAAAGCGCTTCACAGAACACACTGTAAAGTGAATTGACTGTATATTTGTGGGCGAACGCGGCAGCCAATTGCGCACAGCAATGTCCCACAACAGTCGTGGATTGAAAATGACCAATTTATTATTGTTTTTGGTTTTGGAGGGATTATTATTAGGCTCTGTGTGGAGTAAGGAAACTTGCCCAAGGTTTCGCCCTCTGCCTGGAATTGAACTCAGGTCTCTCACTTGCAAAGCGAGTGCTCTAACCACTGAGCCACAGGACTCCACAGTCCTATATCAAGTACTATATCAAGTACAAATATTATTATTGTGGGAAGTTTTACGTTCGCTGAGAAATGGGCCAAGTGTTAGGTTGGCCTAACTCATTTTGTGCTCAAGTTTGTGCAGAGAGAGCAATCAATTGTCAGTCTCCCCTGAGTACAAACTCAATGCTATTGATAAAAGGAGAGCGTATAGATTCATTGCACCATCCAATCTCAGAACTGAAAGGATGGCATTCTAACTGACCATCTATCACTGGGTCCCATAGGTTAAAACGTTAACAAACTACCAAGTGCTATAAGCTCAATAAAGAATTTCTGCCTCTTGCTTTCTATAATCTGCATCTCTCTTCTCATTTTCTCAAATGGATCTTTGAATTGACCTCAGCTTCTTTTTTGATCCAGTCATAACTACTTTTTGTTTCCTTGTACCTTCAGAAATCCACTCCCCCACCCACCCACCACTATAAGACATAAGAATTAAGAATTAGGAGCCATTCGGCCCCTCTAGCCTGCCCCGACTATCATCAATAAGTTATTCTCAGCTGTAATATAGTACAATAGCTTTTCATGCAGCATTACCCCAATATTACTGAAACCGTACATTAAGTCAACCCCAGATAAACCTCTGCAATCCCAACATCAAAAGGGTGAGATGAAAAGGGCTGAAGGTGTTTGATGCTGAGAGGTGTCTTCTTCACTGGAACCTTTCTCGTGCTCATGCAGTGTCAGGATGCAGTGACCTTGAGGTACTGAGACTGTCAGTATATTTCAAGGGCTGATCATTGAACAAATGCAGGGCCTCTTCTGTTGGGGTACACTTGGCACGCCAGAGCCTTCCAGGCACTGGATTTCTTCTGAAATCCATATTTATACTAGCTTCTCTGTTTTCTGAAGATGTTTCATCCCATGCATTAGATTACGTGTGTCTGCAGCTGGAATAACATGACATACAGAGATAGAGATCTGATAATATGGCTCTGTATTCAATTCCCCTTCAGTGTTGAATGGATGAGACTCAATTTTAGCCACTCGGTCTGGAAATTGGGTATCAGCCTGGCTCAGTGGTGGCATTCTCGCCTCTGAGATGGAAGGGCTTGTGGGTTCAAGCCTTATGTTGGGACTTTGAACTTGTGTTGTCTAGACTGATAGTCCTATGCAGTGCTGGGATTGTACTGCATTGTAAGAGATTCTATCCATTGGATGAGTCATTAAATCAAGTCCAGTTCAAGTGGACGTTAAAGATCCAGATTTAAGCAATAATTTGTATTTGAAACAAGAAGGGAGTTTCTCCTGGTGCCCTGGCCAACAATTCAAGATACAATTGTTTGCCTGGTGCAAATTGGCCGTTGCATTCGCCCTCAAAATACATCCCTTCAAAAAAAAATAATAATTTGGTCACTCGATCTACGACTGTGTGCGAAACTGCCGTGTGCAATTGGCTGCCGTGTTTCGCCCACAAAGTATGTAGTCAATTCACTTCACAGTATATTCTGTGAAGCTCTACGAGACGTCTCGAAGACGTGATAAGGCGCTATATCAAATGCAAGGATTATTATTATTATTTACGACACTTCGCAGAATGTTTAGATATGTCGCCCCCAAAACGAAAGGCACTAAACAAAAAATAAGGATTTATTGGAAGTCTAATATGTGGGATTCATAAAAAAGATTTAGAAATATCGTATCCTGTATGGCAGGTGGCAAAAACACAACCTGGGCGTTGACTCAAACTTTTTCCAAATTTTGAATAATTCTTTAACCTCAGTTTTAATTGGGAAGCTAGTTTTCTGTAGCTTCTTTTACAGATTCAAAATTAATACCGAATTTAAGAAGTATCCAAAACTTGGACACTCGAAAATGCTGAGAAAAAGTGCAGGCACAGATGGAGTCAGTCTCTCTGGATGTATCTGGTACATCCTAATCCTGGCTAATATCCAACTAGGAACCTCTAAGTGAGTCTGATGAGCCCACACCAAAAAATCTATCCACGATAATAATATTAATTGTTGCATTTGGCGAAATGTCTATAATGTAGAGACGTCTCAGAGCGCTTCATATGTAATTGCTATCCAAATCATATAAGTTTGGAATCAGATCAATGTCCGGGAGAATCACATATAGGCAAAGTGTGGAGACCTGCAGCTGAGTGGTTAGAGCACTCGCCTCACAAGCAAGAGGCCCACTGTTCGATTCCCGGGCAGGGGGTGAAACGTTGGGCAAGTTTCCTTACTCCACACCGCCACTGTTCACCTCGCCGTAAATAGGAACCCGGTTGTTAGTCGATTGGCAGATCGCTTTTCCAGGGGTAACAATCCCTAAAAAAAATGCGGTCACTCAATTCACGACCGTTTGTGGGGACTCCACTCATGGCCGAGGTGCGCAATTGGCTGCTGCGTTTCGACCACAAAATATACAGTCGATTCGCTGTAGCGTATTCTGTGAAGCGCTTTGAGATGTCTCAAGAACGTGATAATGCACTATATTCAAATGCAAGGATTATTATTATTATTATTATATTATTATTAGTAGTAGTAGTAGTAAGTACAGGATTCAAAATTTGAGAATCCTTTTATGAATCTCCCTGTAACTGATCGCGTTGACAACTCAGCTGGATAAGTACATGGGGATGTCCAGGCTTTCTATTCATAAGGCATTCATTGCCTTATCAGCTGAGTATTACTCAAGTCAATGTGCACAGTTAAACCAATAATTTCTCTTACCAGGTAATATTTAAAAAAAAAAAAATTTTCATGAGAGGTTTCAAAGGAGAGAACACAGCTCCCCAAAGTAATGAGGTGCTTAAGAAAGAATTGGGATAGTAGAGCAAATCTCGCTCTAGATAATTGCCCTGGTTCTGATTCATCTAAGAAATGTTATGTTTTACGTGCTACAATCTTACACCGATGATTGGCAGGACATTTGGATTCGTGGAATATGGGAACAATTGCAATTAATTTATAAAATGTACACAAGGGCATAGTTATCAAAAGCTCCTGGTTATCTCGTAGATCAGCGCTAAACCATTAGGCATTAAAAGCTCAGGAACAAGTAATACTTGAAGGGACATTTTAAACAGCTAAAGCTGAAATTAATCCTGGGTAAGATGGAACATTGGGTATTTCAGGAGGTTAGCAATGTATTCCCAGCTCTCAGATTTTGGCTTGAATACAGCTCAAACCAACTTCTTCTCTCTTAGCTGCAAGAGTACTCCATGGAATGGATTCGACTCTCTCAATCCAGACACCAGGAAATAATATTTCTTTCCACAGGATAATCAACAGCTGCAAATCATTCCCATGGAAGGTGAAGACAGGAGGCTGAGGCTAATTTGACAAGCAATGTGATGCTTTAATAGAGAGACAGTAGGGTTGGTTTTCTGAAAGGGTGAGATAAAGCAGACCAAAGGGATAATAATAATAATAATAATAATAATAATAATAATAATAATAATAATAATCCTTGCATTTGACAGAGCGCCTTATCACGTCTTCGAGACGTCTCAAAGCGCTTCACAGAATATACTGTATTGTGAATTGGACTGCATATTTTGTGGGTGAAACGCGGCAGGCAATTGCACACAGCAGCGTCCCACAAACAGTCGTGGATTGAGTAACCAACAGTCGTGGATTGAGTAACCAAATTATTATTATTAATTTTATTTTTTTTCATTTTGTATCCCCGGAAAGGTGATCCGCCAATTGACTAACAACTGGATTCCTACTTACTGCTAGGCAAATAGAGGTATGGGTGGGTGTGTGGAGTAAGGAAACTTGCCCAACATTTTGCCCTGCCCGGCAATCGAACCCAGGTCCTCTCGCTTGCGAGGCGAGTGCTCTCGTCACTAAGCTACAGGACTCCACAGATGTGGGATCTTCTACAACTGAAATTCTCTTGAGATCCGGTGATACTATTCATGTTCTACATGAATCCTGACCCAAGGCCACTGAGCTTAATTGTTTTGTCTCCAGTGCAATCTTGAATCAGATGAATTCACTGAGCAGAGATGTCACTATTGTTAAAATCCAACATGTGCCAGGTGCATAGCTGTTCCCCAGCCTGCAACGAATATTCACCAAGAAAATCCTTCCAGATTGACTGGGTGAGGAATACTGGTAGGGATACTGATCCATAGGGCTGCTGTTACACATGTTAAAAAAAAATATTGATATCCAGTCAATTCACTTTACAGTATATTCTCTGAAGCGCTTTGAGACGTCTAGAACATGACAAAGCACTGTATCAAATACGAGGATTATAATTATTATTATTATTATTAAACCAAAGCTTTAGAGACTCTTTCTGACTCAGAGGCGAGAGTACTACCAACTACCAGGTGGACATCTAATTAATACTGCCCTTAAGCATTTACCTACTCACCAGCAGTCAACACATTCCTCTCTTGGTCTTCCTTTTGCTCACGCAAACTTCATGCTTTTGAAACCTGACTTGGTATCACCTCACCACTACTTTTGATTTAACTCATCTTCTCCCCTACCCTTTCAGCCTCGATGATGCCCTGAATTATGGTCTCACTCTTTCAGATGGGTTTCAAGCACCCTGAGACCCTACCCTGTGTGAGGCACGCAATATAAATGCAGGTTGCCGTTGTGTTTTCTCAGGAATTAAGTGTGTGCCAACGCAAACAAACGCAGGCAGTATTGTACCTTTTCAAATAAAACTAACTTACTCAAAGAGTTCCTTTTTCGTGCATGCAATTTTGCAAGGTTTCGAAAATCTACATGATGACCTCAGTGCACACACAGTAACAGCAATCAGTCAATGACCTTCAGGATTGTTGAGACAGGTATGGCACTGAGAGTTGTATGAATGATAATATGAATGGAAACAATCACAATGGGAATTGAAGGGGAGGTTGGAAAGAATTTCTTTACAAACAGAGGACAGTTGGAATGTGGGATTCCTTGCCATAAACCACTGAATTGTTTTCCTCCAGAAATTGTTTTGAAGGATGAAATTGTTCGTGCTTGAAGAGTAGGGCTTTGTAAGGGTATGAAGAGTCAACAGAAAAGAATTTAGATGAGGAGGCTCATCGAGGTCAGATTTCATGGACTCCATGATTTAATGTTCACGCTGACTCTATTGGTTGCGGAGTTTCTGCTGCACAGGATCAGAGGATTGGTCTGGATGAAGAAGGTCCTTCGGCCCATCTTATCTAATTCCTCCAGAATACCCACCCTACCCATTTCACCCACAAAATATACAGTCAATCACTTTACAGTATATTCTCCAGAGCACGTCAAAGATTATTATTGCTGTTCCACCCCCACCCTCCTAATCCCTCATCACAGCAATCAAACTGCTTTAGAAATGAATGTGTTGTCCTGGACTCATTCACTTTCCTGCCAACCTGATCAAGTCATTGATTATCTTCGGAGTAAAGAAAAGTTTTCTGGTATCTGTCATGAAATTGCCCTTTACAATTCAAATCTTTACCTTTGTCCTTGCATCTTTTTGCGTCCTTTTCGCTCACGAAATATACAGTAAATTGACTTTACGGTATATTCTGTGAAGCGCTTTGAGACGTTTTGAAGATGTGACAAGTTGCTATATCAAATGCAAGGATTATTATTATCTTGATAAGTGTTGATCTGGGTTCACTCAAAGCAGTTTTCTGATCCAGACCTGACAGCGATGGCATTGAGGAGAAAATTATTTATTGCCTGTTCTGGCAGGAAAGCCTATTTTGTAAAAGATCCTGGCTTTCAGGATTTGAAAGCTCCTGGTGTGACCTTGGGAGAGTTTTATTAATGAGAGCAAATGGTTGTAATAACAATGATAATCCTTGCAATTGATATCGTGCCTCATCACGTTATTGAGATGTTTCAAAGCGCTTCACAGAATAAGCTGAAGTGAATTGATTATATATTTTGTGGCGAAATGTGACAGCCAATTGCACACAGCAGTGTCCCACGAACACTCATGGATTGAGCGTCCAAACTATTATTATTGATTCTATTTTTTTAAGGAATTATTACTCCCAGAAAGCAATCCACCAATTGACAAAAACCGGGTTCTTACTTACTTGCCGAGTAAGAAAACTTGACTGAGAT